CACGCCCTCGCCTTGCTTCTGGCAGCTGGGATCTGGGGTGCCAAGGTAGTGTGGCTTAATGGGTAGAGCTGCTGTATTGGATGCCGGAGGTGCACCGAAAAGATCCCAGCCATGGCAGTTCACTCCCCTCCCCGGAAAACACACACACACACACAAACCACAAAACAACAACAAGAAAACAGTAGCCTGACTAACTTTAATGGCATTTTAATCATTTTATCTTTTATTGTATTTTAATTGGATTTCAATTGCTGTAAGCCGCTCAGAGACCTTTGGGTAGCGTGGACGGCATATAAGTTAACTAACTAACTTGGTTTCCGGCTTGACTCACCAAAGTAACTAATTCAAGTTTTCAAGTTGTAAGCATGGTTCAGACACCAAAATCACTTTTTTTTGCTCTGCCTGGTACTTTAAAACTCACTAGGTAGATCGTTCAGTGGTCCAGGTATCTGGCTGTAGAGCCAGGGTTTGAGAGGTTGGCACACACACACACACACACACACCCCACCAGGTATCTGGCAGCAGAGCCAGGGTTTGAGAGGTTGGCACATACACACACACACCCCAAAAAAAGAGGAAGGTAAGTCTTCTCTACCTGGAAAGGGTTGCCGTAAATCAGAATCAATGTGATGGTGCGTGATTATACTACGAATCACGGTTGAATAGTTCAGTGAATTAGCAACTGGCTGTGGAGCCAGAGGCTGGGAGTTTGATCCTCACTGTGCACCCCAGAAGAACCAGCCTGGGGGGCCCCATTGTGCACCCCAGAAGAACCAGCCTGGGGGGCCTTGGGCAAGCTGCACCACCCCAGGGCTACCCCCCAAAAGAAGAAGGGAATGGGAAGCCGCTTCTAAGTATTCTCTACCTGGAAAATCCAAAAAGAGTTGGTGTAAGTCAGAATCAACTCAATGGCACATGGTTATTATTATGAATTGTATCTACATGCTGCTGGAGAGCTTTGAGTTAAATGTCTGGCTGTAGAGCCCGAAGTTGGGAGTTTGGTTCTTCACTGTGCATCTTAGAAGGATCCAGCCTGGGTGGCCTTGGGCCAGCTGCACAGTCTCTGGATGCCCCCAAAAGGAAGGAAGAATAAACCACTTCTGGGTATCCTTCCCCTAGAAACCCCTGGAAAGCGTTGCCATCAGTCAGAGCTGAGTTGGCAGCACACCGTTATTAGAATCACGTGTACAAAAATAAATACAGGAGTGTTTTAACTTCACCAAGTGATCAGAGGACTTGAGGAAGGCATCCTTACCCAGCACTCCTCGGTTTCCACCCTCTCCAAATTTCTCAAACTCAAGGCAGCCGGAATCATCATATGGCTGGACTTCTTGCTGGACTGTCTTGCGGCTTCCTTCTGCCTTGGAGGCATCCGGCTCCACCTGCCTCCCATCCGGAGGTTCGTTTGGGGGCATTTCCCGGCTCATTTCTTGGAAAAGGAAGGGTCCAAGAGATCAGGAACGATGCCCAGTTCCAGGAAAAGATTTTTGGGACCGTGAGGGGTGGGGACAAAGGGAACGGCTACCATGACCGGAACACACGGCCCCCTTTCCCCCTTTTCTGCCTTTTAAGTACCGGAAGCTCCTGCATCCAAAGAGAAGGGGGGGGGAAGAGAGAAGGTCTTTGCCAAGAGAGGCACAGATGTGTGGTTTCAATAAACAGAAACCTAAAAGAGAGCAGGCCTTTATGGTAAATAAGGAGCCAGTTGGAACAGATCACAAAAGTGAAGGGGAGGAGGAGGAAGAGGACATTCCCTCCATTTGTCAGGCAAGCAGAGAAGCAAAACTGGGAAGAGAACCAGAAAATAAAGCCATCCAGAGCACCGTTTAGAAGAAACACTGTTGTCGTGTACCATCAAGTCAACTCATGGTGCGCCTGTGAATGGCCCATCTCCAAAATTGAGAGCAGGCTTATCTTTTGTAAACTCATGCTCGTGGTTCCTTTGGGGAGTTAATCCATCTTGTATTTCATCTTCCTCTTTTCCTGCTGCTCCCAACTTTTCCCAGCATTACTGCCTTTTCCAGAGAATCCTGCCTTCTGGATTCCCAAAGTAGGACAGTCTGTGTTTCAGCGTTTTTGCTTCCCACACCGCTGATTCATATTTTTTGCAGAGATCACCTTCCATCGCCCCCTGCCATATATATATATCTACTGGCTGGTGAATTCTGGGAGCTGTGGTTTTTTTAAAAAAGTAACTTTCCTCATCTTGTTCTCAACAGCAGCACGGATGCCTTAGGCTGACCGTAAGAAAAAAGAGGACAAGTTTCTTCCAGTTTTAGAAAGTGCTGTGGGTGATGGGATTTCATCCGGAGTAAACTGCATGGCTCTACCGGTTGAACATCCCTCTTTTTATGCAATCACAGGTGCCCTCTTCTTTTAGAACTGCACCATCATTTAACTCAGTGGTTTAAGTATCTAGTAGTGAAGCCAGAAGTTGGGAGTTCAATTCTCCACTGGGCTTCCTTGAAAGAGGCTGGGCTTAATGATCCACAAAGTCCCCTGCAGTTCTAATATGATGATGATGATTAACAGGATCCGAAAAGCTACAGTTCTGTTTTTTGTTGGATCTCACGTTTTTGTTCTTGTTCATGTTTTGGGGCTCATTTTCTGGGTCTTGTGTCTTGGGATGCTGTCAGCCTATCAACCTTAGATCTCTTGGGGGGGGGGAAGGGGGTTCATTCATTTGAGTTCAGGACATGCCATGTTTTTCTCATTGTCCTACCTGCTGTAGGACTGCTGCTGCTAATGGGCCATCAGTCTTAAGTTTAGCCCCCAAATCTCCGGGAACAAAATGCTTCTGGTCGGACAATCCTAGATGCAGGGGATATAGCTCAGAGGGAAAAGCTGGTTTTGAAGCTACAGGAGGTCTGTGGTTTAATCCTCAGGACACTTATTTAGAAGGGAATGATGGTGGAGAAAATTCCCAGGGCGAAAGCTGCTCATAGTTGGAATGCAACATGCAAGGCAGTAAAGAGCAATGTTCCCCTTTGGGTCAAAGCCACCTCACGTGTTTCTATGAACTTGCATTTAGATGTTTTTGTCAGAGTTCGGACATGCTACTCTGTCAGACTACAACTTCCAGAATCCCCACCCAGCATGGCTAGGGGATTCTGGGGCTTGTTATTCAAATACCACAAAGAGTCTTATTTTTAAAGATCAGTGAGTTTTCTTTGGCATGATCTTTCCTGGACCTAGTCCACTTTTTCAGATGCATGGCGTACAGCTATCCAGCCATAGCTCTCTCCATATGTTGGTTCCGGTTGTGATTATGCACGGTGATATGTATATAGCATGCAAATATTTCCAGCAGGACGATAAGGCGGAAGAAGATGCTTCTGGCTTGAGCTAAAGCAAATACTCTCTGGAAGAGCAAACAGTGGCCGTTAGCTGTTGGGAGTTTTTAACAACCTTGTATGCTGCCTTTAGTAGTTTTGTCTGGGAGGGACCTCTTTGGGCTGGGGTGACTGTCAATCGATCCAGCACTAACCAATTATTCCCTCCTGCCTGTGACTTCAAAGAGAACCCCGCCTCTCTGCTTAGGTCCTTTCCCCCTCTCTCTAGTCTGTTGTAGAGAGCAGCAGTCATGTTTGTCAGTTCACTGACTGAGCTGTTCAATTGTAAGTCATTTAACCTTTTATTCTTTTTCCAACTCATGTCTCAGAGTGAGTTTTTCAGAAAGAGAGTGGATAAGAAAGAGAGGTGAACTAATCCAGGCAACTTGTATTTAATATGCTCTGTGAATCCCGGCGCTTCTGCTGTGCTGAATTTAACCAAAAATTCCAAACTCTGCAACATTAACAGCTCCAAAGGTACTTGAATACTTGACATGATGATCAGGGTGTTTATGCTAACCAATCCTTTGAACATGTATGAGAAGTATTAATTAATGCAGTTGTCAATTTCTGTACTACATATAATTCCATCTGACCTCTCATAATCAGAACCGACTTAGAGTGTCACGGCTAAGGCTTTCAAACCCACCAATGAGTTTCCACAGTCAAGCAGGGATTCGAACCCAGGTCTGTTGAGATCTGCTAGGCATTCTTGTCCACTACCTCACGCTGGATATCCTTTGAATTATCTATAGGAGTGGGTAAATCAGGAAGTAACCCTGTACAGTATTTCTTTCCAAAGGTAAGCAAAGGAAAAACACAATCCCAAATTTCATGATGGTTTTCACCATAATAATTATTGATGCTTACTATTACTGTATTAGGGTTTGAATCCTTCCTCCACTTCATGCAGGGAGATCTTATTGGAAGCTAATGAAAGTACAGTAAAAGAATTATTATGAGGAAACAATTAGACATTTGTACGCTACAGTGTTGTGGTTGCAAATACTGGAAGTAATTAATGGCTGTTAATTGATCCAATGCAAAAAGTGGGTCGATTGGAGCGATGGGGGGGGGGACAACTGTAATATATTTAACAAAATTGGAATTTCTGCTGATTTCTTCCTGCCACATTGCTGGTTGTTCTTCTTAACTATAATTGCAATTTATTGCATAAATTCTCAGCTGAGAGTTTGGTGTGTGTGTGTGTGTGTGTTTAAAAGGGCACGATTGATAGGCATCTAAGCCTTCCTAATGGTTGATAACGAAGATCTTGCAGGCAGAAAAGAAACACCCAAGTTTTACATATAAGATCTGAAGTTTTCAGGACCGGGGAGGATGCAAAAAATAAATTTTTAAAAAAAGCTAAGAAGCCACTTCGGTTCCTCAGCTTTCACTAAAACACTCCCTCCTGATCTTGCAATGCCTAGCTCTGTTTTAGGGCCGAAAATGTGATCGTTTGTGGGGGTGCTACTCGGGCAATTACGGTACCTAAGGAAGCAACGCTCTTTTTGAGTCCATGGTCGGCGAGGCTACTCGGGAGATTACGGTATCCGGGAGCCGCGCTGGCCCGTCAAAGCGCCCAGCCGGTCACGTGGCCCCTCGCGCCGAAGGGGCGAAGGGCAAAGGAGGCCAGTCTCGCGAGAGCGGCGCCAGGCAACGGCGCAGCAAGATGGCGGCGCCGGAGACGGAGGTGGTGCCTGCGGGTCCCGGTTCCGGCCCTGAACAGGTAGCGGCCGCCGAGCCTTTTCCTCGGCCTTCCCTTTCCCTGCGAGTTCCTCTTTCCTTTCCCCGGGGGGGGGGGAAGGCAGCCACCCCGCGCGTTCCCTCCCCCTCTCTTTCCCCCCTCACTCTTTCCCAGCCCCCCCTCC